TGAAAATTCTTCAATGCTGAGCACATAATACATGATGTCCTTCGTCACAGCCAACCATCTAAATGTTTCGGACGTTATGATGACGTCCGATAACGCGATGATGTCCAATAAAGCAATGATGACCGATAAAGCGATGACGTCCGATAACGCGCTGACTTCCGATACAAATTCCAGTCAAGCCATGGTCTCTGCAGACCAAACCATATCCACTATGCCTACTATGCGCGGAAAAAGCACTGCCTTACCAGTGACCGTTGGTGTTGTCAGCAATAAGGTGGACGCAAATGGTAACAATATTCTCATCACCAAGAGCAACATCCTCATCTCGAAGAGCGATCGAGTGAAGCTTGCGCACACCATCAAAGAGATGCTGTCGAGCAGCCCGGAGGCGAGTACAGCCAGCTCCATGAGTATCGACGATCTCTTCGTACTCTTGACAAACATTGCGACGAACTCGGCCATGCTCTCCCATGCCGCGGGTGTCATTTCGGCTGCAAGGAGTGGTGACACGGGTGCTTTGTCCGGCCACATTGTAGGCCTGTTGGGTGCAGCAGTGCCTGCAGCTATTATGTCTCCTTCTACATTTGGCACTCCTGCTCCAGCTGTAGCTCCTGTTGCCACCTCAGGGACAGCAGATGTCGCTGTCCCCGCTGCAGCTCCTATCTCGCCGATGACGCCACATGAAGCTCCCGCTATGTCGGCCTAAAGTACGGATTCTTCACCGCGTTGCTTGCTATGCGGTAGTTTAACAGTTTATAGCACTGTTTCAGGCTTGTCGTAAATCAATCAGCGATGAAGCCATATTGAATCTATCCATGCCATTCGGCTGTCATAATTTGTTTGAGAAGCCGCTGATTGTCCGTTATGCAATGTTATATGACACATTGAGGGCTAATGCCGATACTCCGACCGTTTGAGTCCCATTCTTGTAGTTTACGAGTCATGTTGTGATAGCTTTTTTGGCTTTGAAAGCATTCATTCTTTCGTTGATCTTGAAAGTTGGATGCTGCCTGAACTCAAAGCATGCACGACATGGTGTTATTGCTTTGCTGTATCTAGTAGTCACTGAAGGTGTCCTATTATCACATGTGGTTAAGTCAGACAGAGTGTATCACCATTGTTTACTAGTACGGTGTTTAAAATAGAGTTGGTGAGGGGAAAATGTATGAGCTCAAAAGTATACTATTCTTTCTACATACGTTGCCATGTCAAAGTCGAAGGCAAGTTGATGATAAAATGGTTAGACTGTTCACTGGAAAATGATCTCTTGTACATTGGTTAGCTAGCTTGAAGTAGGAGAAGGCTACTACAGTATTACCAAGGACCTTTGCGAAAGCCGCCTCCGTAGCGGCCACGACCTCCATGGTCACGACCTCCGTAGTATCCACCACTGCCACCGTAATGGTAGCTCTCGGTCTTGGTCTCACTTGTGGCATCGTTGGCAGGAAACTTCTTTACCACAGGCGAGAGCACTCAGGGGGAGAGTGCAACGGTGATCGCAAAAGAAGTCTTCATGTGTTCGAGTCGTCTTCATGTGTTCGAGTCGTCTGATGGTACTATATCTTTTAGACACATCTTGATCCACCTCTTTTCCTAGAAATGTTTTCTGTTAGGTCTTGGCAGTGGATGTCATTGGTTCGATGACACAAACTCAAGAAATCTCTCAACTTCTTCACAGATCGTGAAACGAATATAGATATCTCTGCTTTAGTCTGCAAAGTCAGCGAATTGTCCTCAGACAAATGACTTTTTTCAGCTCGCTTGATGGTTTATACATGGACTTCAATGCTTGCTTACAGTTCCGCTGTCATTGTTCAATTGGACTCCAACTACTCAAGTCGACTTCAGCTTCACCACGATGAAGATTACAAGTACCGTCACCGCTATCGCTATTGTG